TTTTTAACCAATTTTCACTTTCATAGTTTTATCTTCAACTACTTGTAGTTTTAACTGTCTTTACCGTGCATAGAAATGTTTTTTACCAGCTTGTAGCCAAGATGCTAATATTTCTGTAGATACAAAACATGCTAGCCTGGTAAAAACCAGCCCCTCATCCTTCACTTTGCTTCGTACGAGGGTCTGGACTCTTTGCTATAGAGAAGTGATTCTTGCTGGGGGCGTGGCCTCTGCTGAAGTTTAAAATGATTGGATCGGTTGGCCGCGACATGTCGCTGTGAAGGAGGCTAAGCTAAGAAGCTAACTGGAAACTGTATGCGCTGTAAACAACCCTACTGAGAGGAGAGAAGTCCTGAGCTGAACGAAACGGCTATAAATGAGAGCTGCTGCTTTGTCAGACAAATTTATTTTAATTTGGAAGCCTTATCAACACAGACTGGCTTCATTCACGCTCTCCACTGCCGTATGCTAAAATAACTAGCAGAAACTGTGCAGAAAATCAACGTTCTGTTCTCTGATTGGCCCAAACGAAATGTTCCTGAAGAAATCCTTGTCTATGGGAGAAATCCCAGAAGGAGCAGAGAAGGGAAACTAGAATTGAGCAGAACTGTGTAGGAAGGCAAGGGCCAGGCTACAAACATGTCTATGTTTAACTAAAAGAACMTATTAAAGTAGAAAATCGGGGGTTTGCGCTTAAGAGATGAATGAACCAATTGGAGGGACYAATTTTGAATAGCCCTGCAGTAGGAGATGGTTGTTTACAGCGCGCACAATTTCCTGTTAGCTTCTTAGCTTAGCTTAGCTTCCTTCACAGTGGAGCTGGTGCACTACATCCCTCCCGGCCAAACATTAGCGATTGGGTAAAATCACCCCAATCATTTTAAACTTCCACAGAGGCCACGCCTCCAGCAAGAAATCATTTCTCAATAGTCGAGAGTCCAGACTCTCTGTACGAAGCAAAGCGTAGAACAAGAGGCTGGTTAGTTTTTTATTTTGTCTTTTGTTTTAATGATAGAAGTCTTGGACTGACCTGTAAATTTGTTTTTAACGTGCTGCATAAATAAGACTTTAACGTCTAAAATGTTTAATATAGTGAAAATTTTCGGGGTGTCTGGGGAAATCTTTGAAACCAAGGCTGGACAGAGCCGTTGGACGACCTTCATGTTCTCAGGAGGCGCCTGCATGATAAACCGTCATGTCTCCATGATCAATACCTCCACACAGGGCAGACAGACACACAAACTAGACCTAGACACAGATTTAATATAATTAAACTTTGTCCTGTATGGTTGAAATGTGACTTCTTAAACTCTACATGCAGGTTGATCAGTGGGCTGTAAAAGATGGAGGGCATCACTGTAGAGTCTGTTATCCAGACAGGTGTCAGAAAGTCTAATTCTTTAAAAAGATACATAAAACAGCTGATCCAGTGAAACTTTAAAGTTACATCATTCAAACACTTGTTGACCCGACGGAGCTAAGCTGCTCAAAGTGCTGTCAGTCCTGCAGGAGGAGCCGATCCACCGGCGGCTCCGCACAAATCTTTGTCGTCCCGTTTCCAAAAAGAGGATTTTGTCTGTGTTTCCATCATATGTCGAGCATTTCTTTTCATCACTTAGCATGTGKGCTCCTGAGGGTCCAGGGGTACAACACAGAGTGGATTAGGATTAGACCATTATGAGGGTTTGGAGTTTCCAACAAAACTCCATCCAGAAGCCGTTAGCTTCAAARGATACAAGGATGCGGGGATTAGTGTTTCCCTCCGGGGAGGAAAAGCCTCTAAAGCAGCTTTCAGACCATCGTGTGACACGAAAAAACAAAAAAAGGAAGAAAAAAAAAAAGGCTGACGTGAGTAGAGAGAATCAATAAATGAAATGTAAAAGATCTGCTGGTGGTGTTGCTGAGAGGGCGGCGTGATGAACGGCTGCTGGGTTGATTGGGTCAAAGATGGACGTGTGCGCGCCTTCTGATTGTAAACATGCTGTTCCTCTGCATGCTGAGAGGAACGGTCATAAATCATGCACTGACACTCGTCTGAGACGCCACGCCGGCAGAATATTCAACCGTCCCGATGAAACGTCACAGGAGACGATTAGACGGGAGAATAATCACAATCTAGAACAGGAAGCGACTACAGGAAAACAGTTTCCAGCCACACAAATGAATTCAAACTCAGAAAGATTAGTGAGAAATATCATAATTAGACTTCTCAGTAGGACAGAGATGGATCTAAATAACCCTGTCCTGATAACTCAGCCGTCCTCAGTAGGCTCAATAAATCTGCAKACTTCTACAATCAAAGCCTTTGTGCAGATGCATTTCACTGAGTTKCAAGGTTTTTATTCTAAAATCCTCCAGAATTAGATTTCTTTCTCTCTACAGAGGATTTTAGTAGGTCTAAAGCCTGATGCGCAATACACAGAATCACTGTGTCCCAAATGTATTGTTTTCAACTTAAATCTTCCTGMAAAAAAAACACAGTAACAGGGTCTGTTTCTCCTTATATAAGGAATTAACCTAAACAACTTGGTCCAACAGAGATATAAACTTTTTATTTGAAATAAAAACTGTCAGTGAGACGTTATGAAGGAGTATTAGGGCCACACAAGAATTTTTATTGCAAGAATAAATTCATAGTATTACGAGAATAAAGTCACGAGAATAAACTCGTAACATTACGAAAATCGTCGTATGAGAATAAAGTAATATCATGAGATTAAAGTCACAATAATACGAGAATAAATGTCAATATTAAGAGAAAAAGGTCGTAACATTACGAGATTAAAGTCACATTGACCTTTGACCCAAAA